AATGTACGAAATAATAGCTTTAACGTATTTATCTAATTGTGAGAACTATTTAATAAAATTTTAAGATAATTTTTCTTTAGTAATATATTAAAGAATAAAACAGATTGTTACTAATGTTAGGATTGATCCCACAATTATTTTAAATTATAATTTTTTACTTACTTGTGCGATTTTATCCCCATGGCTTTTAATGGTATTCCACATTAATTCTCCTAAACTTTTATAATTATTTAACTTATACTGCGCTTGCTCTTTATAAACGTTTTCCATGGTAAAAATCTGGATGCAACAAATTATACCCAATTTGAACTATTTTTAATTATATTTATGGTCCCCTACTCAATATATCGTTAATTTAACAAAAATACAATGAAGTTAAATAATATTACTTAGAGCAATGTATTAAATTTGACTGAAATGTACTTTATTATCTTGATTTTTATTTGATTGAATTGTTATTTAGTGTTAGATATTAAATGAGCAACGATAAACTACGTTCACATTAATGTGCAGTTGCAATACCATTAATGTGAACGTTGCTTATCGTTGCTCCTTTAATATCTAACAGTGCATGAAAAATGTTGTGATAAGCAATATTAAATTACAACACTTTATCTTACATGTCTAAAGATCTATATGCCTGAGATAAAAAAAGTTTTATATATATATATATATATATATGGTTATATTTTATGTACATACAATTATATATAATTTTATATAATTATATATGAAATATTTTTTCTCGAGTGTTTTACAACAATCATACATTTACGACTTTTTTAATGTAATAATCATAAAGACATGATAGATCATATTTATATATAAAAGAGATTTAAACTTGTAAAAAAAGAATACACAGTACTTTCGGCAAATATAAAAGTATCCGTATATAGTGGAATAGAATACTCGAAATTGAATAAAATTATTTGATTGTAATGGAGAAGATCCTGTGTTTGGTGAATACACAATTTTTTTTACTATGCAAAGCTCATTCTTTCCGATGTACATTCAATAGACAAATAATTAATAAAACACGATAAACGTTATTAAAAGTTGACTGCAAATATTTACCGATTATTATAGATATCTTATTTATTATAGTCTATCTCTAGATATCTATAATAAAGCCTACATGAAATGTGCAAGTTATCAACTTTACAATGTCATTTCGTTTTATTATATTAGGAGTATATGTGTATATAAAAAATATTAGAGAATAATATTCTTTATTCAGGATTTTGTGATATTAAATATAAAAAAATTCTTAAGTAAATCATTGGATGTATCTATCTTTAATGTGATATGTTCTATGCCAGAGAATTTCACAGTAAATCTTAATAAGTATTGTGTACTTTACTGTTAGTACCTATATAAATACATTTACAAGTACTAGAAAAATAAAATACCTAGGTACAGATACTTTAAATGTACCTAGATATAGGTTTTCTTTTACTTATTAACATAAAATTTCGGAATAAATAGGCATTTTTAATTTCATGTATCCACACATAATATGTATACGTGTTTTATATATACATGCGTAAATATTCTATGTGGGTGAGTAACATGTACAGTAAGATGAAGATACAGTAACACTTATAAAGCTATTAATTAATTTTAAATCAAGTAATCACATATCTAATGAGAATCGAACAACTACATATGTGATAAATTTATTCCATAACTATCAAAGTACAAAGATAAATACTTTAATCCTATTTCAGATCCTTCTCAATACCGCTAATTAAACTTAAATTAACTTAGAGATCTTATATAAGTCATACTAACATATTTACTAAATTATGCGAACATGTATGTATCTTGTGTGTTGTAGATGTGATAAGATTTTGTTGTCCTACCACATTTTCATTATAATTGCCGAATTAACTGTGACAAAATATTAAATATCGCATTAGACAAACATATGTAATAGCTTTTAAAATATTGGATTTACATGTCAAATTGCATAGCTTATTACGATCCTTGAATGTACCTTGTTATATCATAATTACCAGATTAACTACGACAAATTATTAAATCAAATAAACATAATAGATAATTAAATGATAAATAATGACTAATAAAATATTAAACTTACATGATACAGACACAAAGCTGGATTGTTTATACAAATTATCAATTCTATTGTTCGCTTACATATAACCAAACGCAAATAAGATTAAGCAATATATAATGTTGACAGTAAGGAGAGAGAAACATCACATCTTTGTAAATAAGTTGTTATTGGATAATTATCATCACGATTTTTCTATGACAATGGAAATAAATTTTAAGGTTGTGAAATTTGTTTTATCTGAGAATGGCTTAATCCAAGAACCGAAACATGTAATGTAATGAGTTATTTATAGAATTTTTTTAATACATTTTATATATCATTACTATTCTAATAATAATAAGTTATTGTATCAATTGTTTGCTTAATTTAAAAATATTAAAGTATGCTTGAAGAAAACCAATTCAGTTCAACTTTGTTATAGATTTTACAAGAGCAAGAAAATTTTATAAACTACTACGATAACTTATTTATAGTAGAATGCTATTTATTTTTACTTATTTATATTACCGTAAAACATTATATTTTATTAGAATATTTATATATAACATATTATTACTTTATATTTTTCAATTAATCGACAAGTCATCTCCTCATTAAATTCTGGATAGAGGATCGCTTAGTTAGTTGTCTTGCGCGATTATAATCAAGTTCAGCGCTGTCCTACTCAACCAATAAAGAGAAGAAAACTAAAGTAATGGCGTATTAGCCACATCCAAAGTATTTTTTTGGATAATGACTAATATTGTATAATTGGACAATTCGACTTTTCGGCATTCTCGTAGTGCCCGATGAATGCCAAATGCATTCTTTTTTATATCGTCGAGCTCAACGTAACAGAAATTTGCTACTTCTACATCATTGCAATTTCTCAGAATATCGAAGAACGTAATCGCATCAACATGCTTGCCAAAAATCACTATCATGGGATTGCACTTCTGCTCCTTTCACGCTCAAAATAACATTCACTGATTTCTCACTGCAGAAGATCACTTTTGGCGTGGTTAGTCGTAAAACGTGCAGCGCAGTTTCTGATGGCAAATAATTCACAAATAATAAATAAATAAATATTACGCGTTAAGTATTAAGATATGTTAAACTAGAAGATAAAATTGGACTCACTTGCACTATTATTAATAAATGCATTATTTCGAATTTATTAATTCAATTAAATACAAAAAAAAACATGGAATATTTTATAATTCAAGAAGAACTTACGCCAGTCCATGTTTTCATTTCACCGATTGAAGATTGCGTTGATATAAGCTGCCGAAAAACAAGACACGATGGAGTTGAGATGGTTGCCTGTGCACATATTAATAATGTCACCGAATTTAATTCCTTGTTTTTGAAACCATAAGGCATCTCACAACTTTATTGCTTTAACTTGCAGTTCCGCGCATATGTGATTGTTTCTTCGGTACATGCGTCCAACTATATATTATTACAAAAGATGTTTCAAAATACCACAAAATTAATTATGTTCATTACTTTGCGATTAAAAGAACTATTCACAACTCTAAAAAATAATCTCTAATAAATATATATCTTTTACTAATTAATAATTAAAATTAAAATTTACAAAAACTATGTACAACTGTAAAGACTTTCAATCAATTTTTAAAGAATTCATTTTTAAAGAATTTTATTTTGATTCGCTTTCAGAATCCGTTTTCGGATTTGTTTTTTTTTTTAGAAACACCTATTGAATTGTATCATGTACGGAAAAAATTATTCTTAAGGCATTTATCATTAATAATTACCATTCATGATTAGATTTAAAATAAAAGAATTTTTGATAATATTAAATTATAAATTTTTTTTATAATGTTGTTATTAGAGTATTATGATTAATTCTGTGGTTATTTTAAAATTATAGTTTAAATTTTTTACATGTTTGTTTCTAAATTTTTTTTGTGAATATTTGCTAGTATAATATATTTGCTATATGTGTTACATAACATTAAATAAGAAATTGTTTTGACATTAAATTTATTGACCAGTATTATAAAACATGTGATAAAAGAACACATGTTAGTTTTTATAAATGACGTTAATGTTAAATGTTATGTGTAATATGATTGATGATGATATTGTTCAATTTTCTATTGTTTTATTCTGCACTTTGACGGCCGCTATTACGTAACTTTGCTAGCTAGAAATTATTATCCAGTATAATGAAAACGTGATTCATCACGCTTATACGATTATTGACGGTTGTCTGTTAAATTCACATTTTAGTTGTTTCGTGATTTCTTATCTTGTGATATATTTGTCTTAGCACTTTACAATTAAATTATTTTAGACAAACTTTTTGTGACCTTTTATGTCTTACTTTAATCAATCTAAAATAATATATTTTTAACCAATTAGTGTTTAACTTGTAACAATTTATATATGTAAAATATCTTTAAATGTTTTGAAATTATCATATATAAGTAAAATATTAATTTATAAAATTAATAAATTATTAAATAAATTTTTACATATAAAAATACATTTTATAACGTTAAAGTAATGATAGTTTTAATGTTTCTTTCTATACATTTGCTTCTATAATTACGTTATAAATAGCTCTGCAAGGACTGCTGGAGGAAAACAGAACTGAACGCACAACTCAATTAAATATTCGCATGAAACATTTGATCAAAGTTTTAATATCAAATATTAGTACAGTTTTCTTAGTACACTTGTTTATCTTATATTTTGGCAAATTTTAGTTTAATATTGTATCGTTCAAAATAAACAGATTGGTAGAAGCAATTTATATTCATGTTATTATTAATATGAATCTTTTTTATTCCAGAGTATATTTTTAATAAATCTCCTTTCTTATTTAGATAAATATAAATTTTAAAAGTTGAAATCTTTTTTGATAAATTCTGTGTATTATACTATATATACATATACTATTATACTATATTAATATTACATGCTTATAAATATGACTTACATATGCAATTTTGTTCCCGTGACTTTTAATTTTTCCATAACATTTCTCCGAGACTCTTGTATTTATTCATGTTATGCTTTATTGTTCTCTTGTAAATTGCATTTTCTACAGTAAAATTCCATATGTAACATATAAATCAGATTGTTTTAATTGTTTATTACTTTGCATTATATGCCTTCAATTTAAAAAATCGCGAACACACACACACGCGCGCGCGTGAAACACTGTACATTTATAACTTTTTTTCTTAAAATGTAACATAAAAATTAGACACATCAATAGACCACTGTAATTTTACATTTACCTTCTGATCATGTTCAACAGTTTCGTTAGAAATATTTTGATCTTCCATCGTAAATATGAGATTCTGAATGCGTTCCAACAATGTTACTCTACAGTAATGTGTTATAAATAGAGTTTTAGTTATTCTAAATAAGCGAATTAAAATTGATTATCAAATATATGAGATATATGTGTGTGAATATTTGTTGTGTACTTATTGATTTTTATCATATCATTAAAACTATGACGGTTTTGTTGCATAATCTTTTATTTTCATTGAATCGTATAAATACTAATTTTATTGTAAGAATTTATTATATAATACTTATAGCAAAACACAAAACAGATACATATAACACAATATTTATAATTAACAGTTGACCTTGAGAGCAAGTGCAAATTTCTTAAATTCAAGAACTATAATAAAATTGCAATTTTTAATTTTTTCCCTTAAAAATAATAAGAAATGAAATAGTAGGAAATGTTTTAATATCTTTATTTATTTATTTTATCTGATAGTTACGTATGACGTACCTACTTATATATATATA